TGGACTTTTATGGCGCGTTTGTGTAAGAGTTGTTCTATGAGTTGGACTCATTGAAAAGGATATTGAGATTGGCAGTGAGAGTTCTTTCATGAGCTGGCCTGTTGGGATTGCTAGCGGCACGCTGGGTCCTACAGCTGAAAAATCAGTAATGTCTGTCGATATGAGCAGCAGGGGTCAAGCTGCCTGTCCTTATAATGCTGCACTGTAAACACAATACACAGCGTCTCAGGGTCTCTTAGTTTCCTCTCCATCATTCCCCTGAGGTAGCTTTAAGGCTGACAGAATTATTATCCGACCATATTTTTGGATTACGTCCTGAGACTCTATTCAAAGAGCATAAGCCTCAAAATGAAATCAGCCTTAAACACTGTGGCACCAGCTCATGTATTTTCAAGAGGTCTTTGTGAGAGGTGGGTTATAAATCAATTTTAGGATCGACCGAACACTTTATCTTGATTTTCAACCTTGGCAGATCCTTTAGGGGTCTTTTAAACATTAGTATATTTCTTGCACTGGCAAGTGGCGGTCGAAGCATCTGACTGCTCTCTTTATGTAGAACAAGGCGACTCAATCGGGGCTGATTCAGTGACTCACTCGTATACTATAAATGAGGCATATTAAACTGTACCTGTTGATGGGATGTTGGGCACAAATGGAGTGCGTATGCATGGTGTATTGATCCAGCTGGAATAGAGCTGGGGAGGACTTCCACATGGCCGTCATGTGTGAGATGCTGTCTGGACCTGGAGACAGCACTATTGATCAGCATGTCGAGGCTTAAGTAGCCTCTCCATTCAGACCCCTTGACGGCAACACACATCCAAAATGAAAGTAATCAATGGAAATGGTTAAATGACCCCACACAACTCAAACATTATGAATTGCCTTGGCACATTGGATTTATCTTTGTGGATTATGGAGCACTGTCTGACTTATTGACCACACGTGAGGCTACGTATCCTCCCTCAGGATAGACATTGTGTCAAACTAGAGCTTTGTGTTTATGAACTATACTCCCAGTGAGTCAGTGAATCTCTACTTCTATTCCCTTGCTGGTGCAAAAGACCCTCTTTGCATGATAGATAGGCAATATATGAGCCATTTTCCCCTTTTCACTCCTCACTGCTTGTAATCCAAACACATTTGAGTGGATGGTTGTCAAATGGTAGCGGGTAATCAGACACAGACAAAAATGAATAATGCATCACAATATGTCTGGCTATCATTGTGTTGATTATTGTCAGAACGAGCCAGAGCAGTGTTGTTGAAATAAAAAGACGGCACAGTTCTACCTCTACATCCAACAGCAAAATATACATTGTCAGTCTCTTTCTAACACACAGAATAAACTGCAACACAATACCAGAAAGTTATAAAAAGCCAGAACTGCAATTGTCAGTTCCTTCCCCATATATTGTAGGCTCCAGAGGCAAGAAGGTAGTCAAGTCGTCTATCACTTCACTTTGCCCCAGTAGTGTAGACACATTGACAAACAGTATAACGCAGACAATTGAGATTGATACAACCGTAGAGACACCCATAAAGCTCTGGACATAACAAAGCCAACCACAGCAGCAACACAAAAGCTCACACACAACAGTTAAGGACAACTGGGCTCAAGTGATCAAGCAGGAGTGGAAATACCAGAATATGCAGACTGAAAAAGCGAAATACAGAAATGTAGGTATAAATGATCACATCTGTCATCAGGACAAAGGGAAAATGGCAGATGGGTGTAAAAAAAGACGTTATAAATTTGAAACAATTCCTCCTTTTGATTCATAACACGAAGAATTGTGTGGTGATTTGTGAGGATTATTACAGTGAGAGGACAGTGTTTAGGAGGAGGACTTCTCACATCAGCGAGAGTGACAAAGACAGAGAGTGTGAGAAACTAATTGTAAAAATGACAGCAGCATTTAGCCACTGTTAAACGGCAGAGCTAAAAGGTTGGCATGCTGCAGAGATGGCGCTTTATTGAGCTGTTAGCCATTAGAGAGCAAGAAAATGTGCATACTCAATTGTCTTGTCATACTATTAGTGGCATATCTAGGAATTAAAGGGAACGAGTAAGAGCTGCAGTGTTATAAAAACCATAGGGAAAAACAGACATGTATGATAAAGTGGCATGAATGTCCAAAGCATGCATATAAAACTATAATCTTTTCTGACAAGAGTCTGACATTTTCAGTGCTGCTATTGCAATTTTTCAGAGCGTTACATGATGACAAGCCCTCTCCATTTTTATCTAAGCCTTAATGCTTTTAGCCCCACTTTCTGAATTAGCTGTCAGCCACTGTGGTCTCCTTCTCAATGCTTCTTTGGAGCTCAAATGACTGAATTAGGTTCTACCTTTAAAGATAATTGCTTAATTGGGGTCTTTTCATATGCTGTCGGTAGCTGAGGACCTGAGAAAGGCTCTGATAACTCTGTAATTATGCGGCTACAGCAGATATACGCATTTGTAGCAGAGCTGTGAAGAATGAGCTGACAGCCTCATGCTCTCTCTACGTCCACTCTCCCTCCATGGACTCTGAGATACAGCAAAAATTGCATGGGCCTCTTTCAACACAAATACATGAGTATTTGTGTGTGTGGCTGTCTGAGTGTGTCTGCATTGTCAGGACTCATGACTGTATCTCAGTAAATGAATGAGACGTCAGAGTATGTCTGAATCCAGCTATGCTGCAGGTATGTCTGGGAAAAACCTTGCCTCTTCTTTTATTCCTGCTGCACTGCCACTGTCTCCTTTTTGAAAGGTGGGAGAACACTATTACATGGTACATCTTCCTTATTCAAGTACAGCTCTTGGATACAAAGTGTCAGATGAAGTCTATTTGTGTAAGATGTTTTGGGGGGGGAACATCACATACATGGTGGCAGCTTTCACCTGAGCCTTTTTTCCAAAGGCTCAGCTGTCAATATAACTTTGCCCCGTAGAGAGCATGAGAGATGTACTGTGATGGGGAGGGAGCGGGGAGAGAGGTAAATACAGTTATGGTCTGAGGTGAATAACAGTAGGGTGTCAGAGGAAGAAGTGCGAGCCAGAATGGGAAGGAGGGAGGGAGGGAGGATAAGAGATGAGGAAGGGGGGGAGGGGGGGAGATTAGTTTTGCTCCGGTAACGACAGATCATAAAAACACGAAGGGGAGGAAAGAGGAGAAGAAAAAGAGAGAAGGGGGGAGGATTAGTGCCACTTCAGGAATGACAGAACATGGGGGAGTGAGAGAAAGAGGAGTGGGATGGGAGATGGGAGGAATCCTGGGAGTTTAGTTAGGATTAGTTTTGCTTCAGGGACTGGGGATTGAATGAGGGAGAGGGAGTTGGGTGATCTGGGTGGCGTCATGAAAACAAAACCTCTTATCAATCAATTGTTGACAAAGTGAGACCCAGAACAATCTTTCTCTCCCTCTCACCCTGCACTCGCAGGCCTCTGGGATGTGTATATTTACTGGACATCACTGGCAGCACACTTTTATGACTAATGATGCAGTGGCGAATAAAAGTGTTGAACTGCAGTCAGTGGCCGTCATATAAAGTCATATCTAAAAAAAATAATACAAATTTTGCTTTTTAAATTATCTATTTTGTATCCTATACATCGATGGTTGAGAGTTATTTTCATCTCTGATTGTTATTGGAATGAGATCAATGGTAAAACTATCCAGTAATTCAAAAGAAAATAGCAAAGATGGGAGAAATATCTGAGGCTGGGCGGAAACCACTGTTATATATTAATTTTGTATCTGCTTGTAAAACAGTGGGTAAACAGTGTGTGACTGACCAGATGATGGATCACATCACCTCATCAGCGGACTGAAATTTTTCTTGTTTTCTGGAGGTAATCCATCCCAAAAAATCACGACTAATTACCTCCATCAGTCCAAAACAAGAAACTAGTTTACAGCATGAATCAGAATGAGCATCTACAGCTGTTCCTTTTTTTCAGCTGGCAGGAATCTATTGTTGCCCCTATTTTGCTTTGGAAATGAAAGATTTGCTTGTGAGATATTTTTTAGTTTTACTGAGGCAATCAGGGGAGCCTTTAACATAGAAATAGTGCTCGACAGGGTGTTCTTTCCTGTGATAGAGGGTATGAAAAAGATGCAATAACAAAACATTTGTGGTGTCTGAAGTGTTCTTCCAAGTTGTGTAGATATAGGAAGATAAATGAGATAACATGGAAGATTGCTAACTAGCTCCATGGTTAATAGAAACTTTGTATAGCAGCCAAAAAAGGGGAACAAATAGCCGTGCTTAATGGGAATAAACACCACGGCTGGATCATATATTTGCTAATCAAGTTTCTTGGATGAAACTAATTTCATAAAAATATGGCAGTGACAGATGTCTTCTGTTTTTCATGCCAAAATGTACATGTAGGGAGAACTGACTGACATGTTGCCAAGCCAGGTGAATGTTGCTATGAGGTTGCGTATATTTTCTTCATGCTGTGCCCTGACAGGAAGTGATGGGGTGAAAATAGAAAAAGAGAGACTGAGAGAGAAAGCAGTACAGCGGGTAACTATGACTGGCCCATTAACAGGGCTGGTTGTCAGTGTCAGCGGACTCAGCTGTGGACAATGGGCAACAGTAGTTGCCGAGGAACATTGTTAAAAAGGAGCAGCACTGTCAGATCTGGACATTCTCCTAAAGTGTACATGGCTGAGGTCACAGGGCGCATGGTTAACACTAGCAAAAGAGAATAACAAGTCCACCGCTTTGTACAGATTGACTCTGAAGACTGTCCCAATGTGAATATCAAACCTCTACCATGACAAATAGGCAAAGAGGGCGAGGGATGAAGGGCCAGGCGAGAGTTGTGAAAAGAGGGAAACACGAGTGAATTGATGGAAAGAGGTTGCTGGGAGGAAGAGGGGGTGGGAGAGAGAGCAAGAGGATGTGAGGCAGATGGAGAGAGGTGACAGTGCAGGGAGAGAGAGAGAAAGAAAGAGACAGAAAGGGGGAAGGTTTGTGTTTAATTAGTGGCCCTGGAGAGTGTCTTGGTTGAGCCAAGAAGGAACATGGGATGTTCTCTAATTGGCCCTGCTCTGTGGAGAGGGAGGGTAGGAGGAAAGGCTAGAAAGAGAAGAGACAGACACAACAGGGAGGAGAAGAAAAAGAGGAAGAATGACTGGACTTTTGTCTGCTTGGCTGCATGTGTATATGAGCAAGCTGTTGTGTATGCATTTGTCCATAGAGGTATGTAACCTTAGTTACTGTACTCATTACATAACAATGTAAGTTTATGTTGTGTTATTGAGCTGTAAAATAAGCTGTGGTAAATTGTGCCTATGTTTCATTAGTAAATAGATACTATTTACTATATACTACCATACAAACATGAGAGCAGGATTGAACTTCTCATCTAACTCGTGGCAAGCAAGTTAATATGTAAATTTAAAAAAATGTTGTACTAGTTTCTTGTTCATTGCTCATTCTTATCCCCTTACTTCAGGGTAATTTTAGTTCCTACCTGCCATTGTTTTATGGGGCACAGTTGTGCGTGTAACAGTAGAATAAATAGTCTGATGTGAACCCCGAGAGAGCGAAGTTGGGTGTTTACTGACATACCAATGAAGAATTCAAGGTTACAGATTACGACCAAAAGTATGGTGACACTCTTTTCAACAAAACTTTTATGGATATTTGATCTAGTTCTAAATTCATCAGGTCGGACTTTCCCCCTTTGTCTAACTTGATGTGTGGCTATTTAAGCAATTTCATAAGTCTGCACTGAGTTGCATTAGGTGGAAGAATGAGGACGAACTCATCCCAGAAGAGTGGAGGCTGATATGGCAGCATATTAATGCCATAGTTTTGGAGTGAGATGTTCAACAATTACATATGGGTGTTATGTTTGAGTGTCCATATACTTATGTCCTATTAGCATATAGTAGAAGGTTGTGGTAGTGGTTGAGGAAGGTGGTGGTAGAAGGTGGTAGAGATAGTGAGTAGTAGGTGGTATATATAGAGATTTTCTATTAAAAAAATACATCCATATATTGAGTCAGCTATAACAATTTATATAGTTATTGCAACTAAGAGTGCATGAAAACTAGTTAACATAAGAACAGAGGAGCTGAAATAATTAACTAAAAGTAATGGATAAATGGTTACAGTACAAATGCAAACCTTAGCAAACTGAACTAAACACTGAGGTTCAATTGTATGAAAAATATTGTAACATCCACTATTATATACATGTTTATATGATTAGTCTGATGGTTAAACATACTCCAAGAGTTATAACTGGTTATAAAAAAGTCTCAATTTAATTCTGATGCAAACCAGCAAGAAGATTGACAATTTCTATTCTGCCTGACACAGGATTGGTAGAAACACAGTGGTTACAAGAATCAACACAAAATAAAAGCTCCTTGTAGGGGCTATAAATAACGTCCAGTTTGAAATGAATTTAAATGAACACATTTGGAACATGAATGGTGGTGTTGATGTGGGGTACATCTTACAAAACATCACATGAATAGATAGATAGTAGGTACAGGTATACATTGTATTGTAGCTGGTATATAAGGTGGTACTAGGTGGTATAGTAGATAGATAGATAGATAAGAGATGTAGCATAATGTAACACAGTGAGAAATATAAATTACTTTCTAAAAATTATATAATCCCATACTTGATGTATTTCACAGTAATGTGTGTGTTTTTACTGCACAGGGTCAAGGAGAAACTTGGTTGCCATGACATGGAACAAAGAGGAGTGGAGAGAAAGCTCAGAGGATATGAATAAGGGAGCAGGAGAGATGGATGAGGGGAGTGGGGAGAGGCAGGAGAGAGACAGAGATGGATGGAGTGAAGAGTCTGGCTGTACAGGGGCACAGCTATGGAGAGAGACAATTCACAGATGCACAGAGGAGATCCGGGAGACGCTTTGGAAAAATGACAAGTCAAGAAGTTGGGGAAGGAGGGATAATGAGCAAAGACAGAGAGGAAGGAGAGTGTGTTTGTGAGCAAAAGGGAGACACCGAGGCCTAGTGGGAGACATGGAGAAAAAAAGGGAAGTTTATAGGGGAGAATTTTGAGAGGAAAGGAGAGGAGGAGATGCAACAATAAGGAGATTCAGTAAAATGTTTTGAGAAAATAACTGTGACAGAAAGGAAAAAGAAACAGACTGAAAGAAACAGACTGTAGTGAGAGCAAGGGCTGTCCAGAAACAAATCAGGCCAGCTCAGCACGTTCTTCTTCATCCACCCCATTTAAGACGGTGGCATTATTCTAACCATAGCCCTAATCAATACGTGTGACAGCATATTGGTGATCAATCAAAGTGCCAGGACAGAATTGATCATGCTCAGTCAAATGTGACATAAACAAGGCCTTGCAGTCGATATGATGTTAGTGTATTCAGTCCGAGACAAACACTCTGTATCTCAATTAACTGCTCATTTTGCCACTGTATACTTTGATAAAGAGAGTCATTTATGCACACCTAAACAGCAGCAGAGTGAAAGATGATGTGTCAGAGCAACTACTGCCCAAAAAAAGAATTAAGTAGTAACTTGTTAAAAACAATGTTAACGTCATTGAATTATGTATACCTTTACACCTTTACCTCACCTTTATTCAGACAAAAAGAAAAATACATACTGAGCTGTCACTTTAATACGCTTTGTTTCTCCTTGTCATCTGCAGAGGGGAAAAAGGTAAATTACTAGAAACAAGAATTACAAAACATGTACACCGGAAGCATTTAAGTTTAAGTGAGTACTTAGTGAAGAGACAATCAGCAGAGAAACGGGAGCCAGGGAGTTTTTTTCTCTGCAAAGTTAATAACACAGCACACCACAGCAAAACAGTCAGATAGTGAAGAGCCACGAGAGGTGCCTTAATTATAGGTAGAAGCTAATTATGCTAGATTGAAGTTATGCTTACAGCACAGATGTCACCATATAATGAGACAGAATGGTGCGAGGGTCACGACGAAGGTGCAGAAGGCAGTGGACCACACATCTTGATGCTGGGGTCATACCAGATCCAGACACGGATTTAAAATCTTCATTAAAGCTCTGATAATTGTGCAGCCTATTGGATGTAAATGAGGCTTGAAGATCGATACCCCAATGCTCGGTTCAGTCTAATGGAGAAAAGAGTGATGGTGATACATGGTTATAACTATGCTGCTTCACATTACGGATAACCCTTGCTAACCCCGTGTACCCGCTACACCTGCAATTAAATGAGGATGCCTGTGGGAGAGAGCGAGAAAGAGAGGCCCACAGCTCAAAGCACAGATGCTTCTATCACAGCTAAATGATACTGTGTCTGACCTCGGGTGTAGCTAGCCACGGTGCATTGGGAGCTCTCGGAGCTGTAATGCACCATTATGATATCGAACGTCCAATAGCTTCCCCCCCTTCTCCTATCACCACCCCCACTAAGTTCCACACCAACCCCTCTGCTCCTCCTCCTCCCTTAGCATCGAATGGGAGAGCGTTAGCGTGATTTCCAGTAGTTGTGAACCCCGAGGAAAAAGCAGAATGGCTAAATTGACCAGATTACTGAGACTAATTGGTCCAATCGTGAAGAACTGGCTCATTAAGGTGTGTGTGGAGATAACAAAGCATGCTACTGGATGCAGAATGTGAAATGTGTGAATAACACACATGCAAACACCATGCAAAGTAAACACACACACATAAACACAAGCGCACGCAAGCACACCTGGTTTCAGATAATTGAGATTGTTATTTACAGTGTGGCACAGCATGGATTAATGAGATCTTAAAGGGTCAGTTCACCCAAATTACACAAACATATTTTCTCACTTACCCCTAGTAGTATCTAGCCATGCAGACAATTTTACTTTTATTTGTCCAAGTTCTGAGATATCCGCCTCTGGGGTTTCTGCCTCCACCTGAATTCCTAAGATTTCTTTTCTACCAAAGCAATAGTCCCTATGCGACCATATCTCCTGGAGAATATGTTTATATGCAACTCATTTGCGACAGCAAAAATGGTTCGTCAGCAACGTGATGGCACCTGGATTACATTTTTTATCAACATAATTAAGACACATTAATTAATGTATCTGGCAAGTTGCAAAAAGTTGTTATAAAATGTTTGCTGACAATGTGCTTACATTTTTGCCAATATCCTCTCTTGAAATACAATATTCTTGCCAAGCAACTATAATCTGGTGGTCTTCAATACTGTAAAAAGTGACTGGAGCTACATGGTGTGTTTACCTAAATAGCATTTAACTAAACAGCAATCTTTTCCAAACCCGAACTAACGTACTTTTGTTGTCTAACACTAATAACACACTGACCTCAGGATGTGAATCCTGGTCTCTGGTGCCGTAGTCCTGTACTTCGTACACCCACCATCCAACCTGGCCACCTCCCTGAGCCTCTCTCTGGTATGAAAATATAACACTTTGTTCCCACCAAACATAATCTTGGCAAGACTTACATTTCCTTCACTACTAGTAGTATAGTAGTTTCTAGGAGACAGGGAAGACAGGGAATAACTGTTCACATTGTTTCTGGTAACAGTTTTCAGTGTTGTAACCACCACAACAAAACAGAAGAAGAAGAAATCTCAGAGACTGATACCCCCCATCCTAGATAAATAAAACTAAAATGATCTCTATGGCTTTATACAACTACAGAGAAGAGAGAAAATATGTTCTTTTAGCAAGTTTGTTGGACTGACCCTTTAATGTAACAACAAGTCAGCTGTGATGTTCTGAAATTTTACATACAGACAGTAAATAATTAATCTGAATGATGTTTAGGGGCAGCAAAAGATGGCAATAGAGGGAAGAAAGCGTGTGTTTTGCCGCGCTGAAGGTCTCCATCGCTTCATCGCCCCTTCACTCCACAAGCCATGCCTCCATCACAGAGTGAGAGAGGGGAACGGACAGCGTTGCCTGAAGCTGACAGAGCAGTAGAGCGAGCAGCAGAGAGAGAAAGAGAGAAAGTGAGAAACACAAAACAAAGGCAGTGGGGGTAGAAGAAGGCAGAGCCAGGTGTGGAGGAGAGAAATACAGAAAGACGGAGCAAGAGAGCATGAGAGAGACGCAAATGCTACCCAGAGAAGTTGTCCTCTCCTCTGGTTATCCTCCATCACCCTGCCTGTGTTTTCTCCATCCCTGTGACTTTCTTCATGGCCCTTTGGCTCTGTGACCCCTGTGTCGGCTGCCATTTCTCAGCCCGGCCTTGTCACTCCGCTCCTGGCTCACATGCAGCCCACACCGGAGGGTCGAGTGTCGTCAGCGGAGCTTGAACCTCACACCATTGTTGTAAGACAGAGCAGATCCTGTGACGGACTAAATGTGACAGTTGAGCTGCTGACCTTTGGTCCGAAAACGACAGACAGAAACCGGCAGCCGGAGCCGCAACGCCCATGCACACATGGGTACTCCATACATAGAGAAACACAACCAAAGTAACACACACACACACACACACACACACACATTGTCTGTGTATGAACGTGTGTATAATTTCCTTAAACATACAGCTGGTTAAAATGTACCATATCCTTTTATAAAAGATGGTTTAAGGTAAGTGCGCAAATTATAACCAAGTAGTGTGAGATAAATATGTTGTGATTATGCGGGAAAATTGTTAGCTGGACTATTTCTTGGCTGGGAGCCATTGCCAGATCAAATGGTGGGGACTGTAGGAAGTCCTTGGTATCAATCTTCTCATCAAACTCTCTGCATGGAAGTGAATAAGCATATTTCCCAATATGTTGGGAAAAGTGACTTTTATTACTATAGCCTTTTATACAGACCTCTCAATCGACAGTCACATTTGAGATGTTTACAGCCATTAATATTAGTCTGGATACAGCACTGGAGGCTGTTCATTCATATGAAAGCTGCTCAGTGGTGCAAAAACCCAAAAGTTCCACTTAATACAATTTCCCAATATGTTGTGAAATATACAATGACTTAAACTACTGCATAATCCACCCTTGTCGCCATCTATAATTGCTACTGTTTATGAATGTTGCCAGGTAGTTAGCTAGCTATGTCCTCCTTCTTAAGTTAAATTAACTACTAAGTTCTGATTGGTCAATTGTTGCTGTGTAATTGCAGCAATGGCGTCCATCATGTGATAGACACTGGCCCAAAAAGGCTTTTTCCCATAAGCTTACATTGTGAAATAAGCGGCTGTACGATGGATACAGCGTCACAACCCTCGTGAAATTATTTGTTTTACTACCAGAATTTAATCCATTCAGTCCAATAACATTTTTAAAGTCTAGAAAATTTGCAAGATTCAATTATTTTTCCCCTTTCATGCAGGGATAAACTTGAAGTTAGCTGGCTCAGCCAGCGGAAGTCTCTAGTGTGCATCCTCTATGGGCCACTGGGCCCCTTAGAGCATGTGCAGTTTGTATTCATCCGGGTAATTTCTTTGCAACGCCAGACTCATACGTATGGCTGTAAACATCTAAATTGTGGCTGTCGATTTGGAGGTCTTTATAAAAGGCTAAAGTAATAAAAGTCACTTTGGGATTTGAAAAAAACAAACACATACATTATTTTCAAGACTTTTAGCTTCATTTGAAAATTACATCAACATGAATAATGAACTTTATATGTTCTGAATTAACAATGAACCCATGCATATACACAGCATAATGTACATTAATAATCCATGCACTGTGTATGAAGCAAAGTTCTTTTTTTATTATTATATACATACACCATTTTCTGTATCTGGGAGTGCAGAAACCATATCAGCCCTGAAAGCTCCACAGATAGTGTTTGCATAAAGAGACTCACAACATTAGAAAGAGATGTAGGAAGTGCTGGATGAAGAGTACCTTAACTACAGCACTCATCGTTGAACTACCATTTGTTTTTGTAAATGTCAGTTAATTTAAATAGGTTGTATAATCCCTGTAGAGTCATGACTCTGACTTCTCAATTAACAGACCGTGCCAACACTGGCTGTAGTGAATATGGAAATTACCGGGATTGGAGGTAAAAGGTTTCTCTGTCACAGCAGCGTTATGTGAGTTAAGGCAGAAGCGCTCCCTGAGGCATTTTTTCCCCCTCCGGCAGTCATCGTTTCCGTTTCTATCCATTCACTCTCCTCAGTCACTTACTATTTTCCCCTCTTTTTTGGCACCTTTTATACCAACCACATTTCACCTTCATTGCCTCCATCTTTTAAAACACTCCACCTCTGAGTCCTATTTTATGGTCTGGTTTGTTATCTGGCTCTTTATCTCTTTTTTTTGGGTGACTATCTCCTTAATGCTTCTCCTCCTCTTCTTTTTCTTCTTCTGGCTTACTTAAAAAATAGCCTGCGTCCACTCTCTTCCCTTTCTTCTTTTGCTTTCTTTCTCCCTCGCAGGGGCACACTTTCTCCCCCTCCCTCCACCCCTCCTGCTCTCTTGCAGTGTTTATTTAAGCAGTTTCACAGTCACTGCACCCTACTCTGACTGTGTCCACTCTCCTCCTCCTCCTCATCTCTCATGGACACACTTTGTATTTGTGTCTCTGTATCTCTGTATTTCTGTACTCCTCTCTAAATCCTTGTCTACTTCTCCTTTACTTTATCCCTCTTTCCTTTCACTCCTCTTCCTGGTGCTCCCTGCTTCTTTAGACATTCAGAGATTCAGAGTTACTTTAAAGACTTCACAGCCTCCCTCTATCGTTGGAGCTTTTCAGATCTGAGAGGAGCAGGCAGCAGAAAACTGGGCCAGATAGAACTAGGCAAAGGCAAGAGAAAATATATCTTTACACTTAGACTGTCTCAGAGACATGTAATTGTTAAATAAAAGGAAGATCTTTCCAGGCAGCTCGTAATTATCAGAAGAGATGGATGCCCTCAATGGGCAATTTAATAACCTGGAGAGGGCAGGGACTGTCGGATCTAGCTAATGTTTGAAAAGAGCAGCGTTAAGACACTAATCCCATTCATCTCAAGTTCTATATTCATTTTTCTTGTGTTAATAATAGCTGCACAAGGACATGCGAGCGCTTCAGTAGACTCGTCTCTTTTTAGTTTTAAAATGAGTTTGTAATGGAATTATAGATATCATATCTCAAATACCTGCTGAGAGTAATAACAATTACATGAGAATTCTTCCAGAAAGTGTTGGCTGGAGCCAGACACTTTCATCAGTAGGTTAAAGTGAAGATGGACTGATCTGCAGTTTAGTTATATTCTGTTCCAACATGCTAATTCAAACTTTCTCTGCCATATTAACACTAATGTGACATTCATAGTCAGAATGCAGATTTAAAGGGGAACTCCACCAATTTCGCACGTCAGTCTGTTTACAGGACTACAGATAAATTGCCTCAAGTGATGTCACTTGAGTGGCGGTTGAAAATGAAAAAAAATCTGTGGGGCCTGATCCTTGTCTCTTCTTGAGGCTAACAACTCAAGGCTACATTAGTCCCTGCTAGCGTAACACAGCCAGCTCTCCCGGAATATAAGAATAGTTATGTTTTTGTAACCTTAGAGTGAGCCATTTATATCTACAGATGCTACAGGTACAGGCCATCTTCCATGGGGTCCACCATGTTTAACCACTGTTACTACTGTAGCCCAGAACAGAGATTTCATACATTGGCTCTTTTTCGTGCATTTTGCCACCATATTTCTCCTTTCTGCTTGGAAGGGAGGGTAAAGTGATGAGTTGCGCTTTGCAACTACACCGCAAGACACCACTAAATCTTACACACTGGACCTTTAAGTCTTGTCATCACTGTGGGTTTTCCAAGCAACCAGCAGAGACTTAAGTTATTGCTCTCAACCAAGACTGTCTGGCACACAACTCCCTATAAAACCACAATGTGCTATTCCCCCATTTGTGCTAAGCGAAGCTAACTGGCAGTTAGTAGCCTATATTTAAGAGGGCAGACATGAGAGTTTTAGCTTTAGAAAAGCACTTTAGCAGGACTGAGGACTGAACACCTCTTTCTCTACGTCACACTGTTGCTCAGTTTGGCATCGGAAGCCTATTTCTGGTCCTCCATCCATGCTTTACAAATGAAGCATGAAACACTCTTAAGTGACAGCCATTCAAATATTCAACCACTCATTTACCAGTAAGCTCACAGTTGTTATTGTAATTCATTACAATGCTACACTATATGTGCCTCTACTGCACTACCACCCACCACTACACACAGAAACACACACATACATGCATACATCCCCAAAGCCTGTCCCCTACATCATTCACAGCCCCATTGACAGCTAGAACACTTTGTAGTTCTATACAATCGGTTGTGTACTGCGTTCCGCTCGCTCTCAAGACTACTTTCTAGCCCGGTGAGTCTGGGGAACTGTGTCGTCGATGACAGTAATGTATTCTGGCCCTCCCCACAGGCCTCCATGGACCTGGCTCCCTTCCTCTTCTTTTCCTCCTGGGACTTCCTTGATGTTGTGGGAGCTGAGGCCTGTTGACTACCTCCCCACCCATCCTTTTATAATGTGTTTCCTCCCCTGTTGATTCTGTCTTCCTGCCTTTATTATGGGTTAATGTCTTTTCTCCTAGACCCGGCAAAGTCGGATCGGAGAAGCTGTAAGAGAGAAACCACAAGGCAGACAGAGAGGATATAGTGCAATATAGTCTCATAAAACTGAAATGCAGATTATGTGCTGTAGACCCCGAATAATGCCAAGATTACATTCCTGCTCCAAAAATTGGATTATGTGACAATAGCATGATTTGGATTATGAAAAAGTGGCACAAATTGGATGAGCCTTTTTTCATCAGTGCGTCCCATTAAAAGCTGGATAAATGTTAAGTTTGTGGCAAGTTTAGGGGACTAAAATGCGGTTGGGTTTAGAAAACTACAAACAAATGAATTAAAAACTCTCTCACTTTGTATCCACCCATCTGTCAGCCAAATCTCTGCACCTTTTCATTCCATATGTCAGTGTCAAGTTGCTGTCTGTTTCTAGTCATTAAACCTTCTTTCTTTTGCATTTTCTTTGCAGAACTCACTCATTTGAATGAAATTTCAGGACACCAGGCGCTTTACAATATGTAAATGATAGACTACAGTATACTCACGCCACAGTCGTCACTCCTCAAGATTGTGCTAAATCCAGTTCACACACAGTTTGGACTTTGAAAAGAGTGACAACTACATTATACCTGAGATTTCAGGTAGTTACTGTCAAATCTGAGTGCAGACATGGTTATTATCTGCAATGCGTATTAGATTTGTACGAGACATCTAGAAGTTGTTGCAGATGCCGGTTAGTCTGAGATAGCGATAAGAGAGATGTGACATTCTCAGTTCAATTCATCATGGTTTCACCGATTCTTTTCCACCAGTTCTTGCATTCAACACCCGAAAATGATGAATTTGTTAGACGAAAAAGCTTGCGGTCAATTTGTCAAGTAAACTAATGGACAAACACACACCTCTCTTTGTCTGGCTGTTCAGGTGAGGCATAAATACTGTTGCTGCTGAAGTCACCATCTTTTGTCTGAATTAAACGTTGCTATGGTTACAGACCTTAATCACAGCTATGGCATTATTCATTGGTTATGGGAGCTAACTGGGTTTACCTGTTCACATACACACAGTGCGTTTTCATTCGCCTCTGCTTTGCACCACAAATTGAAATCCACTCTCATTAGTGAATAGCTTGTCAATCTCAAACACTGACGGTACAAACGTAGCCACAGACGCACAGCGGGGTGAGCCTAGGAGGAAAAACAGAAGAGAAAACAAACAATGTAGCATGGTACAGCCTCTAAAGTAAATCTATTTCATCTTTTTGTCAGCCACTCATGATGTTTGGCATATATGCTGTGACATGATCAGCTGCCACTGTCAACAATTTGGTATTCTAGCATGAACAAAGAGAGAACAGTGGAGTTTCTAGTTGTGAGCTGTAGCTGGTAAGCACACAGATGGCCTGTGTGTATCTATGTTAAACAAGGGATAAATGTTTGCACGGAAGAAGAGGCATCAGAAGAGTAACGGTGGTGTCTTTTTATCTTTCTTCATTCTCTTCATATATCTTTGTACTCCCTCGCTTGTCTGCTGTGGACCCTGTGTTTGTCCTCTAAACCGAATGATCACATTGACACAGAGGACACGTATACAGACATACACACAGGCCGCACAGACACATGGCCACATAGTGCTCAAACTTTAAATTAATTTACTGATGATATGTGTGGAAGAATGCACACACACAAACACACAAGGACACAGTCAGACACACACCTACAGGGAAACTTTACTCAGCTCTCTGTATCTTGGGTAAATCTGTTTGGCAGAAGTTGAATTTGGCAGAGCAGTTCCTCCACTGTGAATAACACTGAAACTAATGAGTTCATCTCTTCCACTCCTTTTTTCTCTCTGTCTCCTTCTTGTTCCACATTTGCACTCTTGTCCTCTCTCTTTTCTCTCCTTAGTCTTGCCCTCTGTCTTGATCTGTCTCTCTCACGCACACTCTCCTCTTCATTTCTCTGCTAGTTCTCCGTTTCTCTTTCTCTCCACTTCTCTGTTGGCCCTCTTGGACATCCTCTCTTTACCTGCACAGATGGTTTCAGTGCCTCCTCTGAGTCTTAATTATTCCGTCAATTACTGTGGGAAAATGTGCAATTAAAGTGGACAGTTATTCTGCGCCGTGTGGCTCTGTATTTATTGGGGTTACACCTGATTTCAGGGGCTCAGGAGTTTTTTGATGCTCTGTGCCATCTTTTCCGTCGCTTCTAGGTATGTGTGAAGGACATCTTGGGGGAATTTATACATTTTATTTCCCTAATCTTTTTCTCTGTAGGGATTCCCACTAATGGATGAAATAGTATTGTGAGCATATGGCCGACAAACAATTAGATGACATGGCGCAGTATATCAAGTATCTTTCTGGATCGCTTTACAGCCTACTTTAGTGTTGAAATAAGAAACCATGTCAACATGTACACATTTGGATTTTGTTCTTTGTAGTGGCATTGATCTGTTTTCTTGATATGCCAATCTCACTCAGACTCACTGTGCTCATTGCTGGCTTCACAGCAACCCACAGAGAGTATTTCCCTGGGAATGAGTTTGTCAAATCACGAACTGTGGTGCAACCAAACACTTATGTGCTGCGTTAATCCGTTGGAGTACTGTTCTAACCCAACCTTCGGGTCCGTGTCTCTCCCTCTGCTCTTCATTACGAGGCCTTAATCCTGACAGCGACACTCCACACACAGGGCAGCGTGGAGACGGGCGAACAACAGGAGACCTGCTTCTTCGCCGAAAGCCCAAAGCAAACACTGCAGCTGCTACGGGTGGGTGATGCTGACAGCTAGAACAGTGTGTGGGGGCTAGAGAGATGGAGAGAGAGAAAGTCATAAGTGCTGGATATGTATATCTAGACCTGTACACAAGTATCACAAGCACTAGAGCAATCGAGATTAGTATCCAGTGTAATGACACCCCCACAGAGAGAGAGAGAGAGAGAGAGATTGATACAGATACGGGGACAAAAGGGAAGATGAGAAGAGGATGCTTGGCTGACGAGGAGAGGAAAGAAGAGAGGAGAGAAAAGACTGAGAAGAGGAAGCTGGAGAGAACAGCAAATAAAAGAGAGAGAGAAGTGGAAGGAAGGGGAAGAAAAGAGAAGGAATACGAGTGAAAGATTAATAGGGAGAAGACGGAGATGGAGGATGGTGGTGGAGTAGAGTGAAGGGCCCGTGGCGCCACTCTAAGTCATCCTAACCAATGAGGACCTGGATACTGAGAGGGCTTGATCACAGCAGGCAGCTGCTAGCACATCATTTTGAAACCCCTCTCACATCCCTCTTCCCCCTGTCTTTCCTGCTCCCCTGCTTCCTTTTGCTTAGATTGCACGTCACTTATTATAAATTGTTTATTTATTAATTATTTTATTGTTGGTTTTTCAGTGGCTCAATATGAAGCTTCTGTCTTGGCTTGAAAATGAGATCCTAGATCACAGTGGGAGTAATTTGATAAAAGGTTAATTAAAATAAGAAAATAACATTAAAAAAATCTCTTCTCCTCCTCCTCTTTTTCTCTCCATCTGTAGACTGGCAGTAACTGTATTGGGTGTAACTGGGAGCCTCCTCCTCCTGCTCATTAATGAAAAGATGAGAAGGAAGCCGAGAATAACACAACATGATTTGTGAATATATTTCTCTCTATCTTGAGGGAATATCAAGTTATAAGCCTTTACAAGTTAATGTTGAGGAACATTAAGCTGCTGATGGAAAACAAAACGGGCCTATCTGCATAATGTGTCCGGTGAGCATATATTTACCATCTTCCAGACATATTCTCAAGTCTTTGGAGCCAACTTCAGTCCCATCACATTGACTGACAGGCTGACAGTGGCCACATTGTGTCAGTTCAGTGTGGCGTCAAAATAAATCCATACTATCACTCATTGAAGTTCAATAGTGGAGTACAGAGGCAAAATGCATCTCACACTGATAATTCACAGTTAATGGGAAGCAAGAAGAACAACAGGGAACCTTATCAGCTGCATGATGTAATGTTTACCGGCTTTTTAATTAATTATGAAAATTAGCCGAAGCGGTAGGCACACTGTGAAGTGAAATCAGATCTTTACGCTTATCGCAGCCTCGCAGCACTCACAGTGCGCTATTTGAATGACATCTCACGCAGAACACACAGTCCCACACACTGTCCCTCACGAGCCAACACACATACACTAACAAATACACCTTAGCACACACAGACACATTTACAAAGTATCTACAAATACACATACACTTGCACATGGATGCTTATAAAGTTCACAGATTGACATTAATGTATGCAAAAAACACAGTACCACAAAAACAAAATGCTATTGATTGGTTTTTACAGTTTTCAAGGTCTGAATAAAATTAGATTTTGCCCTTTGATTCTTGTATGATGACAGAGTGCTCCTCATTAAATGCATCTGTCAAAATGGACTGCAAATGTGAGCTTGCCTGATCTATATTTGTATGCATTGATCTGGAAAAAAATAGGTGAACCAAATATGCACAAACAAGCAATTACTCCAGTGGCTGACATGACATTTCTGTGGTGTTAGTTGTTCAAAAAACATATTTTTCTTTGTGTCTCCAATCAGCGATCAGTTGCCTCAGAGTTTAGTCAAGGAGAGTTATTGTTTTTGTTTTTGCAGGGGAGAAAATAATTCACAGACTGTTGAGAATATGTGGGCTCTACAAGCTAGTATAGTGGTATCACTGCCGTAGCATCATTGTTTCAGTTTGTAGTGTTTATCATTAACTGTGCAGCACTGTAGCAGGGAATCTCCTCTCTGTTAGGTCTTGATTACTCATCACACAAAGTTGGTCCCTGCAGGATGGAGATGGGCAACAGGCAGAATCCAATATTCCACCTTGGAAGACAACCTGCTCTGTTCCCGTCATCTCCAGCCGGATTAGGGAACAGGATATTTTCGGAAATGGGAGAGAGAGAGAGAGAGAAAGAGAGAGGCAACCCAAGCTGCCAAGTTTCCTCCTCCTCCTGCTCCTCCTCCTCCTCCTCCTCCTCCTCTTCCTTTTCCAATTGGACTTGTGTGTGAAGAAGTAGTGCAAACGACAAACGCGCACAAGACAGGAGGCGCTTTTTCTTTTTCTCAACTTCGGATCAAAGGAGGGGAGCCAAGAGACACGATGTGTCCGCGGGGAGAGACAGGATTAGCTGGATTAGCCCAAATGCACCAGTGATAGGACTGGGCCCTCCTGGACAGATAGGCAAACGCTGGCAGCTGGGCCTGTGTGCAGGGGCCAGATGAATTGGGGCCCAGCATTGTCTCAGTAAAACATTGCTCAGGACTGGGTTCAGCTGCATCTACTATTTCCCTCCCTCTCGTGTTTGTTTATCAATGATAAAATGGACAAGCTTTTGCTGTCAGGTGCAATGAATTCTAGTTTGGGTCCATAAGTAGGTCTTTCACCTCCTCTTCTTTAGAGAATTTCCTGTTTTCAGCATCAGTGCTTTACAGGGTCTCGCTGATAAAGTGTTATGAATTTGCATTGCATAAGCTGATTCTCAACTGGCGGTAGATATTGAGAAGAGACACTGCTATTAATCACTGAATTATTAGAAATTTATGCAGGAATAAATAATAAATGAACAAATAAAGCAGCATAAACATAAACCAGTCATTTATTTGGTTGATCGGCCTTGTGAAACTGCATTAATGATACACTGCCATTGCACCCCACGCTCTTTTGATTTAACATGTTTTCCTCTTGGGACATTAAATTTATCTTTCTTTTTTACTTCTTTGTGCATTATGTAAACTTTTTACACTGTAATTTACAGTGCAGATGCTTTTTTGCAAACATAATCCCCACGAGTCTTCTATGGCTGCATATACAGTATGCAGCACACAGCTGAATTTAAGTACTGTGCATCTTGTGTGATATGGTCTTGGCATTCATTTCTCTGCATGATGCCCCAAGGGTTACCCCATGGAATAGATTTCCTGTTATGTATCTATAACAGAAATCACAGAAGAGAAAGAAAAATAAAAGAACAAAACAGAGAGCAAACGGAGAGGAAGCAAGAGAGCAAAATGAGAAAGAGAGCGGTGAAAAGATGGGAGGGGAGCAATTAAACGAGGGGGGAAGAGAGGCAAAGTGAGAAATAGAGAGATGTGGAACTGTGAAGAAGGGGGGGGGGGGGTGGCATGTTATTAGCCATGTTGGTGTCACATTACAGCACAGCGGAGTTTGTAAAGTGGCGAGATAACTCTCACCTGAGGCCGTATGCCGCTGCCTTCACTCACAAGGACGGTCATGTGGCGAGACTAATGCCGCTGTGCCTACTGTTACCACTGTGCATGCATTTGTTTGTGTAGCTGTGCACAAGTTTGTGTGTTGCTGTGTGAATTTCGTGTCTGTCTGGGTCGCTGACAACATGTGTATGTTGCTGGGAATTAATGTGGTCCATGTCGAGGACCAGAGCTACCAAGAAGCAGCTCCTGCAGGCAGGTCTCAGCTGGTCCGTAGGACTCGAGGAGCAGCTGATTAATTCTCCAGTCTGCATGGTGTCCAAGGAGTCAAGCATGCACTGTTATTTATCTGCTCCCTGGTTAGTCCCTGGGAGGGCTCCCCCTTGGTCTCTGGTGACACCGTGGGCTGCACGAGACCACGGTTTTATTGTTGTTCGCTGCTGTCTTATCTGCAGCCCTGTCAACAAAGACAGAGGGAGAATGGAAGAGGGGAGGAGGTAGAGGGAGGGAAAGGGCAGCGAGGGGCAGAGCTTTACACAGATTGTCTTTACTCCAGCTTTGCAAAGAGAGATTGAAAGTATACCGCCTCATCCCTTGACTCAAATATTCCTGGTCAATGGAAACTGTCATAAATTTGAATGTAGATTAAAAATTTTCTATGGCTGTATGAGTGGCTTGGATGACAACTTGATGAAACAGTTTATCACACACTCCAGATGTAGCACCCTGCTATATGCATGTCAGGAATGGCATATATAGACATATTACTGAGATTTACCAGTGGAAGTGGGTTTAAGGCTGATTTTGCATACAATCCCACCCATGCCTTCGCTGTGTATTACAGGATCTGTGTCTCACGTGTGCATTATTTGGGCGTGTGTGTGTGTTCTAGGGAGACAAAGACAGAGTCATAGGGGAGGAGAAAGGAGACATGGGCCACAGTAATAGAGAATGGCTGTTTGTTACAGTACATTAGAAAACATTATGGCTCAGTTAGCAGAGCCTCAATGATGAAAGAACAACAACAGCAAAAGACACGCACACTTGCACATTTGCACATTTGCACACACACACACACCCCATAATCACTATGTGCAATCACACAGCTAAAGGGTAATTGCACATAGTAGGAAAGTGCTGCAGCTCTGTGCGGTATGTGAAGCACGTACTGATACAGGAAAAATGACCTCTACGTTCCATGTTCAGTCTCACCTTTTTTGTCTTTACTCTGCCAACATTATCACCTACCTAGTGTAGTAAAGGTGGGCTGTAACTGCTTGTGATTTTACACAGCGAGGCTCAGAGCACCCTGGAAGCTGCTCACAGTAAAAGGAAAGGATGGAATCACTCCCCCAGCAGGATAAAAGTACAGACCAATCACAGAATTATGGAGCCCTAGGGAGCACGACCTGTTTTCTGCTTGTGTTTAAAGAAAAGACATGCATGTCGTTTCGGTTTTCTTTCTTCATCTTCAAGTCTAAGATTTTCCTCTTCTTTTTTGTTTTTATTCCAAGCAACCTCTGAGTCAGTTTTATCTTTTAATTTATAAAGCCCAGCCTTTCCCTTTGTTCTCCTTCTCTGTCTCTCTCTACTGTAATAACTAGCCTGATTCTAGTGATGCTGGTAAATGGTGGCCCAGTTTGTCCCCCCCCGCCTTTCCCCACACTCCCGCTAGTGAAATTACCAGTTGGTTACTATAGAGACGTGTTTATAAATGCAGCTTATGACTCCCTTTCTGCCCTTTCTCTCGTTGCATTTACCTCCTCATTTTCCACACCTATCTTCCCTTCTCCTCTAAAATGACATCTTTCTTTTTCCTTTTTTCTTTCTTTCCTTTTGCTGTCTGTCTGTCTGTCTGTCTGTCTGTCTGTCTGTCTGTCTGTCTGTCTGTCTGTCTGTCTGTCTGTATGTCTGTCTGTTTGTCTGTCTCTCTGCTTTCTCCTTCATCTGTCCCTTCCATCCGGTTCTTTTGCCCTTTCTCCCCTTTCTCTTTGTCGAAATCTCATTATTTTGTTAATTTCGTTGCCAGCCGCTGTCAACGTGACTTGCTATGCAAGTCTCATTGCACAGAATTAATACCTAATTTACCCCAATACTCGAATGGGCTCCATTCAAACAGCTTCCCAATCTAGGTGTTTACAATACCACAGGGCTTCCATCTTTTTCCGGCTCGGAGCTCTAAACTCCTTTTCTTTTATCATAAGTAACTGTAGGGCTCTTCTTTATGATAATGCATTTGTGTGGGTATGTGCCATATATCATTGTTTGCTACCTTTGTGACCAGAGAGGTAATGTAAAGGAAATAAAAGCTGTGGGTTGTCTTTCTGCTCCCTCATGAAAGTCTAATGGAGAGCTGATTCATGCTTGTATCTAGCCAAGAAGACAATGGACGTATAGGCGTATTTATACCACTCAAAGCAAAGTGCTGCTGAGGCTACAGTTTTACTCCTACTGGGTTCAGGTGTGGAGGGGAGCTAATGCACAACAAAGGGTTACGCTTCATGTAATTATGTAATAACCAACCTACCCCCACTAGCTCCAAGCGAAACACTTATCTCCAGTTTTATTTTTTTTTGCAAATTCTAAGAGCTTGTTTAAAAACATATTTCACAGTGAGACGGCTATAGTTTATCCCTTAAAAATTCCCTCCTGTTTAAAATTCAACAAAAAAGACCTTTTTTTATTGTTGATCCTCATCTATGTATGTCTCTGTGATTGACAGGTTTTCCTCAGTGATAGTGATTGTGAGTATGTGGCTATGCTCTGGTCATTTCAGTAAAATGTCACTCTTCTCTGCAGCTTGGGGAGTTTTCAACAGAGCAGATTTGGATGCCTCCTTTTGTTGCCTGTCCAACTCTAATACCACTTTCATTCTGTCAGCATTGCGGCATGCCAGTCTGGTTGTATTATGTGTAGAAGGTAAAGCAAACCGAGCCTTGTGCATAGAGGCTGTCACCTTTTAACATCGACAAAAGTAAAGAAATGTGTTAAAAGTTCTCGGGTATTTATTTATATGTTAATGTAAGTTTTGGATTTTTAATATGTTTCAAGAATCATTTTTTGATGAAACATCCTAAATTGCCTTAATGGCGTATCTGCTTTCCTCCCACAAGCCTTTCTTCACTGCTAATTTATGGATGGGATTTTTCTGTTTCTTAGTGAACTTTGCTGCATTTAGTGGCACATTTACCCTTAATCTTTTCCTCATTTTGTTTATTTTAG